TGCACATAAAGGGTAGATAAGACAGGGGCGACTAGATTGGGAGGGTTTTCAGAGGGAAAAGGGTGAGAATTGAGGAGGTGAAGCAACAGTTTTTGGTTGGTTGGCTCGGGTCCCGATTGCTGATTGATCTCCAGGTGACAGCCGGTGTCAGGGGCCCTCGGCCAGGCTGTCATTCCCTTGCACTCTTACACCCTCGCACCCCCCCCCCCTTCTCATCTTCGCTCTGTCGCTCTCTCTCTCCCGCCAGTGCATTTTAAGCTCTCACTTGCGCCAACTAATCTCTCACCTTCTTCCCTCTCCATTGATTCAACCTCTATCTCTCTCGCTCTTTTTCTCTCTCTCTTTGCTCCTCATCATCATTCTGTTCGGCCGGCCTTTTCACCCTCTCGGTGGTGACAGTTGGTTTCTCTACTGCTCTCCTCCCTCCAGCTCTGCCTTTTTTGTTCTCCCATTGCTGGGAACCAAATGCTAAGCACTGCCCATTTCACACCAACTATTTGCCATGCAAGATGTGCTCGCGTGCAGGGCTTTAGTGTGTGCTTGTGCGTCCCCGTAACACGTATCCAAAAACATGTGTTATGGGGAGAAAACCCATAATATAAATCAATAAGGGCTCGGGGTTACGTTAGGCAAGCCTGTGTAATGTCCTCTGAAGTCATGGGATCACAACTCCCCGTCTGTCTGTGTGTTTGAATTTGCATGTGCAAAGTGTCAGCGTCTGTGCCCTGAAAGCCCACAAATGCTACACACCAGTTTTCTTCAGACACTGCCTCGGGATATTTTTGTGACCTTGGTCTTCAGTGACTACGTGTGTGTTTGCTGCTCAATTATAGGGATTTCATTTTCCTGTGTGTGGGCATGCTCATGCGCTCTCCAGTTTGTTTTTGTGCGTGTGTATGCACATGCATGCAATCAGGAACCCTTGAGGGGCATGTTTAATGATAGGCTCGTTTGCACAGCTCTGACTCTAATGATCTATTAAAGTACACTTAACCAGTAATTATATGGACAGTCCCCAAAGGCTTATGAGGCCCCAAAAGGGCCTGCTGAAGATGGAAGAAAAGCCCATGTATTTAATGGAATGCATGGGAATCGATAATGCTGCGGCTTTAAATTTTGTTTTTTACGTTTCTAAAGATATTAATGAATGAATAAATAAAGAATAGGTTCAAAGGAGACTTTTCTCCTGCCATGATTACATGCAATGTTAAACTTGAGACAGGGATTAAGTATTCCTCTGGCTTTGCGGAGGAACATGTAATCCCTGTCTTAGCTCTCCTCTTCTTCCCCTGGACTTGCAGGACTGTATATTTAGTTCCAGCCTTGCAATTAAATCCACTTTTACAGTATGACCATTTTACATTGTATGTATTCAAAAGTCAAACGCAAACTTATGAGAGCCAGGCTGATAATTTCTCTGAGTTAAATGTTTTGAAATTCTATAGATACTAAAGATCAGGCAGTCTCTTTCCTAACAAGACCATTAGACCATTATTCTACTCATTAACAGGATTGTCTCCTGAAGTTCAAGAGCAGCTAGAAGCCCCTTAAACTTCAGTGCTACATCCTCTAATAAGGCGATTTTAAATGTGTTTCACGCTCTGCAACTTGAAAGTCATACTGGGCCAGGATGAATAACAATCCAGTCAGGGTGGAATTAAGCAAATAAAGTGTGCTTGCATAGTGATGGAAATGCAGGACTGTAAACACAAACTGCAGGAGCTGTCTTCAGTTAGTGTGTTAACAAAAGCATTCAACAAACACTTCACCGCACACAACAGCCAAACAACGCCCTGCTATCTCCTCTGCTTATGTTATTTCACCGTGTAGTTTTGTAAACAAACATTTGAAAAAGCTGTATTTCTTGAAGGAGAAGTCAAACTCTCTAAATATTGTTATAGTCCATATCCATCCACTTTCATGGTGTAGATTCAACAAGGTGCTGAAAACATTCGTCAAAGGTTTTGGTCCATATCGACGTGGCAGCAGCACACGACTGCTGCACATTTGTCAGCTGCGCATCCATGAATTTCCAGGTTCTGTTCATCCAAAAGGTGCTCTGTTAGATCAGGTGACTGTGGAGGCCGTTTCAGTAAAGTGAGCTTATTTTCATGTTCGAGAAAGTCGTTTGAGATGATCTGAGCTTTTTAAAGTCATGTTTTTTTGCAGGAAGCAGCCATCAGAATTCAAATGCTGATTCTTCCATCAGGCCAGCCCATATGGAAAAGATATATATAAATCTTATAAAGTTTGTATCTGTCTTGTATGAAACCTGTATGAAAAGCATACAAGAGTTAAAACAGATATAAGATCCCTTGAAAAATTATATAATGAAACTTGTATGTTTTGGATACTTACTAAAACAATGTATGAAAGTAATGCGAAAGTGGCCACTTTCATGAGTAATCACATATAAGTTTTTACTATTTCTTTTCCGTATGGGAGGCAACGTTTATCGAAGCTTCTGTTGTCCAGTTTTAGTGAGTCCATGTAAACTGTTGTGGCACAAGGGCGATCGAGTTGGGAGTTCGCCTTGTAATCGGAAGGTTGCCGGTTCGAGCCCGGCTTGGACAGTCTTGGTCGTTGTGTCCTTGGGTAAGACTCACCCGTTGCCTACTGGTGGTGGTCAGAGGGCCCGGTGGCACCAGTGTCCAGCAGCCTCGCCTCTGTCAGTGCGCCCCAGGGTGGCTGTGGCTGCAACGTAGCTTGCCATCACCAGTGTGTGAATGGGTGGATAACTGGTTGTGTAAAGCGCTTTGGGGTCCTTAGGGACTAGTAAAAGCGCTATACAAATACAGGCCATTTACCACCCTATGTGGTCTTCTGCTGCCAGGTTTGATGTGTTGTATGTTCAGAGATGCTCTTCTGCATACTTTGATTCTATTTTAGTTACCTTCCTTTCAGCTGACCTCTGGAATCAACCACTTTCACCCAGTGAGTTTCCACCACAGGATATTTCCTCTTTCTCTGGCCTTACTTTGCAAACCCTGAACATGATTATGTTGGAAAATCCCAGCGCTTTCTGAAATACCAGCTTGTCTGGCACCAGCAACATTCAAAGTCACTTAAATGACCCATCTTCCCCCATTTTGATCCTTATTTTTAACTTCTGCAGGACATCCTGACCTGGTCTACATATATGTAAATGTCCTGAATTCCTGCCATGTGATTGGTTGATAGCTATTTGTGTTAATGAGCAGCTGATCGGTATATGCCTGATAAACCATGTTATCATATTCCTAACGGGAATGATTCCCTACTACAGTTAAACTTTGTGGAAGCTGTTGCTCACAGTTATGATATCTGCTGCCCGAGACTGAATTTTAACATCATCAGTCTAATGATTTTTTTTTCTCCAGCTGTAGAAATGAAAAAAATGTAAGATGACGTACATGTAATGAGTTTTATTTGTCAGGAGGTAGCAATAAAGATGTTTCAGAACATTGTTATTCATGGTTCACCCTCTAAAGAGTTAAGTTCTCACTTTTATTATCGGTGTTTATCAGTGTTGCTTGTTTTTATCATCCGCCTCTTCCGTACACCAGCATAACAAAACATTTGGGATTTCCTGGTTCATGGAAGGTTGGTAATAGGAATAATCAGCCTTCCACTTAAAGGTTAAATATACTCCGTCTTCCTTCCCTGAAGTGTGTCTCTGTCATTGCAGTCAACCACCAGTGTCTTCAGAGTGGAGTGATTCATGCTGGTTCTTCTCTTGGTCTAAGAGCTTTTTTCCACCTACCTTCTTATCAGTTATTTAATTCACTGGCCTATTCCCTCTTTTTTTGTCTGAATGTCCATTATCTGATTTTCCTAATCCCCTCTCATCCATTTTCCCATTTTTCATTTTGCTGTTATTCTGCGCTTCAGAATTTGTAAGCTTTGATCTCCCCGGAGCCCATAAAGCTTTTTGTTTTTTCATTTATTTGTTTATTTATGCTTGTTTGTTTTTTAAGAAGATTTTTACCAAATCCTGATGCCACACATGAGCTGAGTTACTACATAACAGGAGGTTGCCTCAAGGGATATAGTTAGCAGCTTTTATCATTATTTTTGATTGGCACGTAATTGTTTGCCCACTGCTGTTTCCTTCTTGCATTTACATACATATTTTGCTCTTTTATTTCTATTTACTTGCAGTGTATTTACTATTTCTACAGACACCATATGGTCATTTGTTCCCAGTGTCACATGCTGCCGCACCCACTCACCATCCCCTCAAACTTCTCTTATCTTCACACTTGTCTTGGTGGCAGGCACAGAGGTAGACTGGGCTTGGTCTGGCTGTCACAAGTTAGATGGCACAAAGGGCTGGAAGGTGAAAGCTGCCACCTGAGGTGGGGTACTGGGTTTTGACACCTCTATTAACCTTCAGGAGACATCCATCCTCAGTCACGCCCCCACCTCCTCTCTCCCCCCTGTTCTTCCTCAGCTCCGTCTCACCCTGCCCCCTGTCTCGTATTCCCCAGGCAGCGGGAAAACAACTTGTCCCTGGAGCAAAAGAGCCAAATAACAAACGACTTGTGTTTTCCTCTCCTCCCAACCTGGATGACTTCAATATGTCATGGATTTCTATCTCAATTATTGGTCTCTGTGACCTTTGTTGTTTTCCCCGAGTCTTTCTCTGTCTGTCTGTCTCTCTAATTGTAACCCATTAGCTTTGCAGTCTGGCAGTCATACCTGTACATTTTTACAGCCAGTGGGAGAAAAAATCCATGGGTGTTGTGCAGCGCTGCTCGGTAAAATTGTGGCTCTGAACAAATTGCTGCAGCTTTCTCATGTCAATCAACCGGAATAATTGTAGTTAATGAAATGTGAATCGGACAGATTAAATCGGATGTAAAATTGCTGAGTGAACAGATGCCCTTTTTTACCTTGACAATAATTCAATATATCATTGGTGTAATTTAAACAGATTATGGTAGACTGTAGCAGGGTATGACAGCTCATGGCTAAGCGGAGCCCATAATCTTGTGCCTTACTCTCTTTTCTCCCTATAGGAATTCTCTTTACTCCGACTGGACGACGTGGCGGACCAGCGAGTCAACATAGTTGGTTTTTCCGTCTTCAACAAAACTCATCCCTTCTTCCAGGACTTTGCGCTAAGCCTCAACCGCTCCTGGCAAGAGAACTGTGACCACGCACCCTTCGCCGGCACACCGGTTAGTTCACACAACACAAATACATGACGTTATTTACAGTGAAGACCGAAGTTACAGGAAGAATAATTCAGTCCAAATTAAAAGATAATTAGTTGTTCCAGCATACTTCTCTATCACAAACTTACCAATTAAAACACTGAAGTCGCAGAAACCTCCAAAATACTAGGAGAAATATACAGGGATAGCATTTACTCAGGTAAGTGCTGTAATTTCAGGTGTTGCTGTAGGCCATTGTTGTTTCCCAGACAGCTCATTAGCAGCATTTGGCGCCCTCCTTATTACCTTTAGAATGGCATCTTCCTTGTTGAATTTTCTTCAGAAGAAATGCACACAGGAAAAGCTACTTACCTTCACAGCATCCCCCCTTAAATCAGCCACTGTTCTCATCTAAATGGTCTCTGTAGCTCAACATTTAAAATAGTGTGCACTACCTGTGTGAATGAGTGACTACAAAAAAAGCCTTGTTGCGTATGTGTAAACTGAAGGTGATTGCAGATTTGTTTAAATCTCATGCCGGCTCAGCAGGGCCACAAAATAGCGAAGCACATGCTTGAACATGTCGTACTATTATTATTATTACTACACTCTGACATATTTTACGACATGGATTATCGAGTTTTCTTTACATCAGACTCACTAAATACAGTGTTGTAAATGCCCTGCACAAACATGAGCGCTATCTGTTTGTGGTTTAGCGCCTGTTTATGAGACTAAAATTTATGACTATTCTCTGACTACCCAGTAATCCCTCTTAAAGCTAGACACTCTCCCACATTTGCTCAATAGTGTCTCTCATTAAAAGCAACTTCTCAGAGTAAGTAGTACAAGTGCACCAGCTATTAGACTAAACTTCTGCTCTTGGATAATAGTAAAAAAAAACAACAAAAGCTTAACGCAGAATTTTTTACCGGCAAAAGATGAATATACGTCACATTACACTGTTGATATAACAAATCAAAGTTTTGATTTTCATCATTTATTAGCTTTGAAGTAAAACAAAGATGTTTCTTCCTGTTAAAGGGGAGTTTTTTCTTCCCACTGTTGCTAACTGCTTGCTCATACAGGGTTACCTGATTGTTGTTCTTTTTGCTTGGTTTAACATTGTAGGGTTTTGTAGCCTAAATCATAAAGCCCCTTGAGGTAACAGTTGTTGTTAATTGGGATTATGTAAATAAAGTTTAACTGAATTAAATAATTTTATGTATTTTTACATCTTAAACAAAAAAACCTTAAAGACAATATTAAAAAGTGATGTAATTTATATATCTGAATTCAATATATTCTCAATATTGAGAAAAGCTGTAATGCAGATTTGTTTTCATCCTTGTAAATGTTTTTTTTTAATAAGAATAACCCACCTGAGTGCAAAAAGACTGCCACTACTGCAGATTTATGTTTGCTCGGGGGCTTCATTAGGAGCCAGATATTCAGTAAAGTCAGATTAATGAATGAATCCCCTCTGTTTGAAGTGAAGAGACATTAAAAAATGAAACAAACACTCATCACCCCATTTTTGCTTCACACAAATTGGATGGTGAAATAGGTTAAGAACAGTTTGAACTAGCATTAAAAATGCTTCTGTGTGCAGTGGGTCACTCACTAAGCTTGCAGCAATTAGGACTTGTGGCTAATTAGCTAATAACCAGAGAGACTAAAGGCTGATGGGAGCAAGAACATGATTAACCCATTTAAACATGCACATGTGTAATATGCTGACTTTTTAAACGTTCTCTTATAAACAACAAATGCAGCCGCTGACCTATATGTTAAGACCACACCTGGATCCCCTTCAGTTCGCTTATCAGCCTCGTCTCGGAACTGAGGAC